GGCTCTACTAAAATAGCAAGACACATAGGGACACAGTTCGACGGCCCAGATGCCCGCCAGAATAGGGTCATCTGGGCCCCATCTATTCTGGCGGGCATCTGGGCCCCATCTATTCTGGCGGCCATCTGGGCCTTCGAACTGTGTCAGTGCAAGAAGTATACCAGCAGGGATGAAAATAACTGCTGAGTCCTCAGCACATGCCAATATTTCCTCTGTGATCTGCTGCAGTGCTGCTATCGCCTCCTTTTTCCATATCCAGCATCGACAAGGCGGGAAAAAAAAAAAAAAAAACCTACTATACAATGTATGGATGCTGGATCAGGCCTCATCTCTTAAGCTATTTAGCATTTAGTATTTACTGATACAGTACAACATGTTGCGAAAAGGGAGCTTAGTAGCTTACCTTCCTCTTTGAAGAATGGCCAGTTTGTCTCCTCCCATATCCCACTCCAGAGCTAAGCAGCAGGAGGCCATAGGCTCTCCATGGTCATCAGCTTGTTGCACACTGTCAACCTGCTCGCCGTCAAACTCAGCCGCTCAGCGCATCCATCCTTTTTACACATCCCTTTACACATCACACCATCTAGTCCTCTCAAAGCATGGGTAGTATGGGTTTCGTGACTTCTGTCCAAACTCAGTATTTTAAACCGCCAGTACTTGGCCCATACATCGGCCGCCGTCGGCCAATACATCCGCGACGTTCGGATGCCGTAAACGCGACAAAGGCCACTGATGAGATTTTTATCAATGGTGGTTCGGGCCTGAAAGTCGCAGCGCGTTAACATGGAGCGACCGTGACCAATGTATGGGCCAAGAAGTACTGGTGGGTTTAATTGGAGTTTGACAGCACAGCCTTTAGGTAGTTTCTACTAGATATTCACCAGCGACTTCGTAATTGTGAAATTAAGATCTTTTGATTGTGAAGGAGTGGATGGTCTACTTAAACAATACAATTTTTTGAGTGCTCAATTTGTTCAGTTCATTGAATTTGACTCATGGAAAGCAATTCTGCATGATGATCTGTTGTTTGTGGTTACAAAGACCAATATGCTAAAAAAAGGGTAACATTGTAGAATATTGAAGAACAAGAGCAGGGTCAAGGTAACCAAAAAAAAAAAAAAAAAAAAAAAAGCAGGGTCAACGACTCAACGCTCTTCAGACTAAGTGGAGCTGTCTCATAATTGAATAGACTATTAGACTCTCATTTGGGGAAAGAGGGGGGGGAGAAGGGAGGAACCACCTCTTTCCTTCCTCTTCTTCTTCTTCCTCTCCTCGTCCTCCTCCTCCTCCTCCTTTTGTCTTCTTCTCTCCTCCTCCTCCTTTCTTCTCCCCCTCCTCCTCCTCCTCCTTTCTTCTCCCCCTCCTCCTCCTCCTCCTTCCTCCTCCTCCTTCCCCTCCTCCTCCTCCTTTCTCCTTCTCCTCCTCCTCCTCCTTTCTTCTCCTCCTCCTCCTCCTCCTTTCTTCCCCTTCTCCTCCTCCTCCTCGTCCTGATTTCATTGGATTTGTTTATTCGGCGAAGTGCCACGTGGCCACATCAGTGCGCTGAAAAGCGCCACGTGTCGGGATAGGCGAGCTGCGGTGAAATCCCGCCGCG